TCGCACGAAATTCTATCACCTTGCTATCCTTCGACTCCGTCCTCTGCATCAGAAAACCATTACTCATCAACTGCTATTCTCCAACATCAGCAGCTGATAACTCGGACTTGATGCTCTTTGTGAGGATTTGAGGGAAGTCATCCGCAATGAGGAGTCCTTCTACAGTTTCATCGTGGGTGAATTCAATGCGAAAATCAGGAGAAGGGGAGAATAAGATCGGAGGATTTGGATCAACTCCAAAATTAGAATGGTAACCGTCTTGTTGGGCTCTTATCCGCCGCGAATTTTTCATGGCAACTCCATTTTTATGAAGAAAGACCCGGCGATGGACATGGGAGTCACAACGGTACGATTCATGCGGGGATCGGCCATTCTCACCAACCGAAGGTGGTGCTTACTGGACCTCTCAGTGGCCATCCTTCAGTAGTGGCTCAGATCACTGTCTACTTCGAGCAAAAGTGCGGTTCAGCGGAAAGCTGGAAAAGAAGATTGCCACCGTGTTGGAGGAAGGAGAGAAGTCGCATACGACGGCGTCAGATTGGAGGAGCTCCTGACCATTTGTGACTGGAACATCGGAGGGACCCAACGAAAGACTACGATCTGCTTCTTACTTAGAGGATGTGGTGAAAGTGCCTCGATTTCTCGCACAAGAAACTTGATGGATCCAATATGCTTGCCGAGCCTGCTTTACAAGCTCTTCACGAAGATTCCTCTCACTCGCACATCCGTGACAGGATGGAGCGCAACCTCTAGAACAAGCTGGATTTAGCAAGAAATTTAGCTGCGTGGATCATATCAAGACGGTTTCAAGGACTATCAAGGTTTGCTGAGAGTACCGCCTACCTCTCGTCCTAACCTTCGTCGAACGATAAAGCGTTTGACAGCGTCGAGACTAAGTGCTGTCAGCGCTCTTTGACCATGGGACATTTTACGTGAGGACTTTGGCCGACTACTACAAGAATTGCACTACAACGGTGCTTTTCCATCGCCCCCTAACATATCAATTTCGAAGAGGGCTCGACAAGGCGGACCGTATCGCCAAAGCTGTTTACCGTCGCCTTGCAGTGGGTAGATGGGATTGGAACGAGAGAGGTAAACGAGTCAATGGGAGATTCCTCTCGAACCTTCGTTTTGCGAACGACATTGTTCTCTTCTTGAGGAATATCTGGAGCGGGGATGGTGTTGAAAGAACTAAACGAAGTAGAAAAGCGGATAGGACTGCGAATTAACCGGAATTAGATTCAGTTCATGAAGAAGGCATTTTGCGAGGGTCAGGAAAGGAATCAGAAGGCTCTCCAATGCGGAGACGTCTTCTTACGTATATCTC